GGGGCCGCGCAGCTGCAGCAGGCCGGAGGGCGGCGGCGCGGCAAGGCATGACACTTGTTCACAACGTGGGCGCCGCGCAGCAGCGACAGCGGGCGCAGGATGTGCGACGACGGCTCCAACGCTATCTTGGCGCAGCTATGAGTCATTCGCCTGGCGGCAAAATATTCCTGGGCCTCTTCTCGGGCTCCTCTCCTGTGTTGCGCGCCTGGAAACAGCAGGGTGGATCTGGAATTGCTTTGATAGTTTGCAGGGTTCTGAGTTTGATTTAACGGATTGTAGCTTTCTCAACCGCGTCTTGAGATGGATTTCGGCGGGCCTTGCAAAAGGTATATGGTGCGCCTTTTCCTGTTCGTCGTGTCCCAACTGCAACTTTTACAATATTCGGCGGCCGTGATGCCCGCTCGGCATGCCCAATCCCGCGCCTGCCCGGGCCGAACGTCTTCGGGCGGGAAGCCGGGCCTTCGCGTCTATTCGGCGGCGCATGAGAGTCCGCGTGCAGTTTTGAGTTCCGATGATTCGCGAAAGCCCTCACTCGCCCTTGGCTTGGGAAGAACCTGGGATGAGTGGGCCTCGGGCGCTCCCGCAGGCGCGAGAACTCGTGCTTAATCCACGTTCTTCCGGAGCTAGGTGTTGGAGGAAACGAGCTCGATCAGTGGGGTGGTGGACTCCCAACCTGCCTCGTGTCAATCGACTCTGTCATAGCCATGGGGTCAGCTGCTTCTCGAATCGACTCCACCTTGTCTTAGTTGGCAAAGTCCCAGGGGGCTCCGTAAATTGAGCCACCGTGGCCGCCCAGTGCCCCGAGAAAATGGGGCAAGCTGGGGCTGCTTGGCTTGTTCCCCAGTCAGGGCTTGCCTCTGTAGGGTCCTAGCGCATTCATATGGTTAGGTTAGGTTTGCCGCCGATTTTCGCCGCACGCCCGGGTGCCCGGGTGCCCGGGGGTGCCTGGGGGTTAGGTTGGCCGCCGCTTTTCGCTGCACGCCCGCGTGTCAGGGGGGTGCCCGGGGGTGCCCGGGTGCCCGGGTGCCCGGGCGTGCCCGGGCGTGCCTGGGGGTGCCCTATAGCCCTATAGCCCTATAGCCCAATTGCCCAATAGCCCTATCGCTCTACAACTCTATAGCCCTATAGCTATAGCCCTATAGCTCAATAGCCCTACAGCCCTATAGCCTCCTAGCCCTATAGCCCTGATTGGGGCTTTTCTCCGGTATCATTCGATCTTTCAACGCTCTCAGCCTTGCGCGCCTGTCGACAGCCGCGGGCTTTGGATGGCCCCACTTCAGCCTGGTCTGGTCATCCAGCTTATGCGCAGGCAGAATGTGAAAAAAACAGTTTCGAAGTTGCCATGTTGTATATTCCTGCCTTTCGAGCTTGGTACTCTTGGTTTTTTGGGTCGACAATGTATGTATATGGAGGCGGGACGTGCATACATGGTCCAGGACTTGGCCCCCCCCCCAATGCTGATGCCATTGGCCCCGCCACCCCCTGTGGGCGTGGCGTGGTGCTGCGCTGCGGTGCCCCCCTCCCCCCCCTGTGGATGTGGCGTGGTGCTGTGGTGGTTCAGAGTGGGCGTGGCGTGGTGCTGCGCTGCGGTGCCCCCCCCCCCTGTGGATGCGGTGTGGTGCTACGGTGGTTCAGAGGTCGTCGTCGTCGTCGTCGTCGTCGTCGTCGTCGTCCTCCCCGTCCTCGTAGTCGTCGTCGTCGTCGTCGTCGTCGTCGTCGTCGTCGTCGTCGTCGTCGTCGTCGTCGTCGTCGTCGTCGTCGTCGTCGTCGTCGTCGCCGTCGTTATCGTCGTCATCGTCGTCGGCGCCGCCGCCGCTGCCGCCGTCGTCGCCGCCGCAGCCGTCGTCATCGTCGTGGTCGTCGTCGTCGCCGTCATCGTAGTCGTCGCCGTCGTCGTCGTCGTCGTCGTCGTCGTCGTCGTCGTGGTCGTCGTCGCCGCCGCCGCTGCCGGCGTCGTCGCCGCTGCAGACGTCGTCGTCGTCGTGGTCGTCGTCGTCGTCGTCGTCGTCGCCGTCGTCGTAGTCGTCGCCGTCGTCGTCGTCGTCGTCGTCGTCGTCGTCGTGGTCGTCGTCTTCGTGGTCGTCGTCGTCGTCGTCGTCGTCGTCGTCGTCTCTGGGACCATACCATCTGGGGGGGGGGGCCCCAGGAATCCTGGAACCATACCATCTGGGGGGGGGGGCCCGTGGGCCCGGTGTCCGGGATCATACATACGTATATCCATGTGTTTGGGTAGTGTACCCATTTTTATGTATGGAGAGATGTTTGTTCATAATGCTACCCATGCGCACTAACGACTATTTCGGTGACGATGGCGATGGCGACGGAACGATGGGGATGCTGCTACTGTCGAAGATGATGAGGGCGAGTTGTAAACACACTGACGACGTTAGGATGACAAAAGAGGATGGGAATATTATATGTGGGAACGCTAGCAGGATGGGGATGCTGGTGATGATGATGATGATGATGATGATGATGATGATGATGATGATGATGATGATGATGGTGATGATGATGATGATGATGATGGTGATGCTGATGCTTATGCTGCTGCTGATGATTGTGATGTCGATGATGATGATGCTGAGGATGCCAATGATGATGATGAGAAGTGGGACTGCTCAGGAGGAAGAGGACGCGGATACTTATTCATTGCTCGCATGGTTGCAGTAGAGAAGACGCCCACGACGATTCATCGCCGCACCCTGCCTTTTGGCAGCGCGCCTATGTGGCCAAACGTTGGGTCAACATGTGGCCTAGCTGTTGGATGTGCTTCCCCAACACTTGTGGAAACCCTCGGGGGAGGAAAACAGAGAGAGAGAGGTGTGTATGTGTATGTGTATGTGTATGTGTATGTGTATGTGTATGTGTATGTGTATGTGTATGTGTATGTATGTATATATATATGAGCGAGAGGGAGAGAAATATCTGTTTACATACAACAAGGGTGATAGAGAGAGAGAGAGATAGAGAGAAACAGAGAGAGAGAGAGAGACAAACAAAACAAAAAAAGGGTCAGAAAGAGAGAGAGAGAGAGAGAGAGAGAGAAAGAGAAATAGACGGCTGTTTTTGTTCGAGCCTCTTACAGCCAGCAGCGGCGGCCATAATCTCCATAATGGTATATGAATCCAGCGTTGCTTGGCGTTGCTTAGTTTAGCGTTGCTTTTATCGGCGTTGCATTGCTTTGCGTTGCTTGGTTTTGCTAGGCGTTGCTTGGCATTTGCTTGGCGCTGCTTGGCTTGCACGGCATTGCTTGGCGTTGCTTGGCATTGCATGGCATTGCTGACAATTGCTTCGCACTGCTTGGCATTGCTTGGCGTTGCTTGGCGTTGCTTGGCGTTGTCAGGTGCTGCGTGGCACTGCTACAGGACCAGGCGACCTGAGGAAGGCCTCTTCAATCTTTTCCGTTGGCGGCGAGGCAGAATTATTGCACCAGCGATAGAGCTGAAAGGCCTTTTCAAACACATAGCGGAAACACGACCAGGCGACCCGAGGAAGGCCTTTCCAAAAACCGTAAGGGATGTCAAGCAACCCCGAGGAGCGCCGGGGGATGCAGTACGCAAACGCCGCAGCCAGGAGATACGGCCAAGCAGCCCCGAGGAACGCAGGGGCCGGCCAGGCCGCCCACCCACCGGCTCTCTTCACGAACAGGGCGACGCGCCATTTGGGGAAAGGCCTTCAAAACTACGACGTCGACGGCGTCGTCTCTTCTCTTCTTCCGAAGTCCTGGCCGATGCCCGCGGGCCCGCAGTTCGTCTTCCTGGTCTACGACCTGTCCAGGCCCGAGACCTTCGACTACGTGCTGGAGCACCTCCCGGAGGCGGCCGCGGGGCGGGGCGGTGCTGCTGCCCTTCCACGCCAGCCGTTCTGTTCCTTCTCCTCCTCCTTCTCCTGCTCGTCCTCCCGCCCGTCCTCTTTTTCTCCTCTTCCTCCTCCTCCTCCTCCTCCTCCTCCTCCTCCTCCTCCTCTTGCTCTTCCTCCTCCTCCTCCTCCTCCTCCTCTTGCTCTTCCTCCTTGAGCCCAGGCATCGGGCGGTTCGAAAAAGTCGGGGCAGCGTTGGCCTCTCGAGGCACGTTTCGGTCCACAGGGCAGTCGAAGCGCTCTCGCACGAAAGTACAGTCGGGGCCCTGAAGAAGGAACCCTTTTCGTTGGGGAGGGGCTCGGTGTTCCTTGATTGTTCTGCAGTTTGCCTTCTGTTTTCCTGAGGTTTTCCATGGGAGATCGAAGCTCAACTTATGTGAGGAAGGGGCCCCGTTCCTTATTTAGGGTTCCTTAGGTCAACGCCCCGACTGTACTTGTCTCGTGGCGGGGGTCGAGATGTCAAGGAGGGGGGGGGCCGCATCCCCAAAGTCAGGAGACCGGATCTCTGGTTCCCTTTCCTATTCGACGTTCGAGGTTCTGCAGCGCCCTCTTGTTTTGCTTCTCGGACTTGAGAGATTAAGACGCCGATTTTGATGAGTATGAACACGAGCAGGGAGGAGGGAGGAGGGAGGAGGGAGGAGGGAGAAAAGGGTGGGAGTGATGCCGCAGACGCATGTGCTATGAGGGAGCTGCTGCCCATCCCCCAGACGTCGGCTGTCGAGCTTCAGGAATTGAACTGCGTTGTCAAGACGGCCACCTCTTCCTCCTCCTCCTCCTCATCGCCTGAAAATTAACCCTCGTCCTGGCCTCGTCTTGTGGCGGTCGCCAGCGCGGGGCGGCCTCCCCGCAGGATCGTGCCCGCCTCGTTGTCAAGCTTGCGCGCCTGGTGCTTCCTGCCTGGCGGAAGCTCGTCATCAGAGGACCCCCCTGGGTACGAAGCTCCCACCCTGCGGCCAAGGAGGCCAATCCCGCACCTCAGGCCTGGTTCTGGTACAGGAGTTTTCGGCGGTGGCAGTCCTGCCTCAAGCCGAAGCGTCAGGAAGAGTGTCCGCTTGTCCCAGGCTGGACGGGTCAGCCTCTTGCTGCTGCCACGACCTTGCATGACCGCGGTTTGTGCTGAAGACCGGGTGCCATCCCTCCTCCTCCTGCACGGTTTTGCTGATCCGCGCGAAGCGGTATATTTTTGTCGTGGCGAAGGGCGTCGGGAACGTGCGGCTCGGCCCCTTGAGGAGTAGCGATGAGTCTGAGGACCCCGACTACTAAGGTAATGGGGTCGCTGGATGCGTGGGATTTCTGCCAAGGCCCCAATGGCCCAATAGCCAAACAGCCCCTCCTTGTCTCTCTCCCGTTGCTCCTCCTCCTCCTTCTGCCCCTTCGGCTGCTGTCTCTCCTCCTTGTTCTTCTCTTCCGCCACCTCTCCTGCCTCCTCCCCTCGTCTTCGTCCTCCTCCGTCTCTCTCTCTCTCTCTCTCTCTCTTCTCTGCGTCGTCATCATCCCGCCTACTCCTCCTCCTCCTCTTCCTCCTCCTCGATTGCTTCAGGTTTCGCAGGCTCGCGCGAAGCCGGTCCTGTTCGGGAACAAGTGGAGCATCGAGAACGAGAACAAGCAGCTCAAGGTCCGGAGAGTGAAACACATCCCCCCCGCCTCTTCCACCCCTCTCCCTCGGGCCTACCTTCCTCTTCCTCTTCCTCCTTCTCCATCTCTTGTCCTCATAGGTGAACTCCTCGCTGTTGCACCCCCATTCGTGTCGGTAGGGTGGCCTGGGCGTTTCGCCATAAGTTTGATCACCACTAGGGATCATGAAGCTTGAGATTTGCAGCATCAGAACACGGGAGGAGGAAGGGGAGGAGGAGGAGGAGGAGGAGGAGGAGGAGGAGGAGGAGGAAAAAACAGAAGAATAACACGAGCACGAAGACGAGGAGGGGGAGGAGGAGGAGGAGGAGGAGGAGGAGGAGGAGGAGGAGAGGAGGAGGAGGAGGGAGGAGGAGGAGGAGGAGGAGGAGGAGGAGGAGGAGGAGGAGGAGGAGGAGGAGGAGGAGGAGTGGGGGGTGGGTTATGGATTTCACAATAGAGCTACCGCTTCAGCGCCGCGCGGTTTCGTTTAGCAAGGGAGGGGGCGTCCTTTTCAAACAACGGGCGCTCTCTGTGGACGCTTGGAAGGAGGGGGGGAGGCTCGAGCCCCTCCCGTTCCCCCCCCTGGATGCAGCGGGGTTTGACGCCAACGGCAATGGCGGCGACGGCGACAACGACGACGACGACGATGACGAACGACGACAACGCGCCCCCCGCGGACCCCTTACTCGCCGTCGGCAGATGACGACAGCGGGCGCTGGCGCCAGCAAACAATGAAGACGACGACGACAACCACGACACCAACAACATCCGCCGAACGACGACGACGCACCCCCCCCCACCCCCCCGTACCCGACGCCAGCAAACCTCCTCCTGCCTCCTCCTCCTCCTCCTCCTCCTCCATTCCTTTTCCTTCTCGCACCCCGAGTCACCAGTTATGATTTTTTGGTGTGAGGGTTCTTCCTCACCAGTTATGACTTTTTTGTGTGTGAGACATTCGCAGCACTTTCACGGATGGAGGGCAGGACGTTGTCAAACTGTGGCTCTCGCCTTGACGACGGGCGCATTCGTTTTGCACCTTTGTGCAGCAGTTTTGCACACTTCGGGCTGGTCGTTTTCGAACTACGGCTCTCGCTTCAGTGCCGCGCACATTCGTTTTCAGAGAATTTGCAAGAGCTTCACGGGTGGAGGGCGGTCTGTGTTCAAACCGTGGTTCTCGCTTTCGCGCCGCGCACGCTCGTTTTAAACCTTTGCGAGAGATTCACGGATGAAGGGCGGACAGTTTCAAAACGTGGCTCTCGCGCTGGCGTCGCGCGCATTCGTTGAGGGCGGCTCCTTTTTGAACACGTGGCTTTCGCGTTAGCGCCGGGCACACTCGTTTTGAGGGTTTCCAGGAGTTGCAGGGATTGTCATGGTTAGCATGCCAGCAACTTATGTTGTGGCATGATATCGGACTGTCAGGGCGCAGCAGCTACCCTGATTCGAAGTTTTGAGGTGCCAGAAATGGTATTCTGGCACGATCCAGGATCGTCAAGACGCAGCCGTAAGTGTAAGTCGCGGCGTTGAGGTCCCGGGAGCGCTGTTCTGGCCCAGTTCAGGATTTTCAAACGGTTGTCTTTCAACGGGGCGCTTCAACCAGTAGAAATGAATCACCGTCGGAGCCTATGACGAGAGCACTTGGATGGAGGGTAGGCTGGTCCTGCTCCTTCTTCTCCTCCTCCTCCTCCTCCTCCTCCTCCTCCTCCTCCTCTCTCGCCTCCTGCCCCCTTCCCCTCCCCCTCCCTTCCCCTCCCTCCTCCTCCTCCTCTCTCCTCCTCCTCCTCCTCCTCCTCCTCCTCCTCCTCTCCTCCCCTCCCCTCCACCTCCTTCATCCTTCCACCCCTCCTCCTCCCGCTTGCGCCTCCTTCTCCTCCTCCTCCTCCTCCTCCTCCCCCTCCTCCTCTCTCCTCCTCCTCCTCCTCCTCCTCCTCCTCCTCCTCCTCGTCTTTCTCCTCCTCCTCCCCCCGCTTCGAGGTCGACGTGACCCAGGCCAAGGACAGCGCCGTGCGCCACGCGGGCTTCGCCCAGGAGCGGGGCCATCGACGGGCGCCAGGGGTCCAGGTTCGAGGATCGAGGACCTCTCCAGGGGAGGAGGAGGAGGAGGAGGAGGAGGAGGAGGAGGAGGAGGAGGAGGAGGAGGAGGAGGAGGAGGAAAGGGAGGAGGAGGAGCCGCCTCCGACGCCCGGCGAGAGCCGCCCGGAGGAGAGGTGCTGTTGTTTTGTTGTTTGTCGTTCGTGGTGCCTTTTGGTGCCCCTGGAAATCTCCTCGAGGGGGCAGGAGGGGGCAAGATGCGGGGGGGGGGGGGAGCGGGGGAGCGGGGGGGGGGGAGCGTGGACGGGCACGCATATGGACGGCGGACTGTCGCTCTTCGTATCCGAGCGAGGGAGGGAGGGTGGGAATGCGGGAGGGAGGGGGGCAGAGGGAAAGGGATTTGATGATGATGATGCTGATGATGAGGAGGAGGATCAGGAAGATGAGGAGGAGGAGGAGGAGCAGGAGGAGGAGGAGGAGGACAAAGAGGAGGAGGAGGAGGAGGAGGAGGGATGAGGGATGATGTAGAAGAAGGAGGGGGGGAGAAGGAGGAGGAGGAGGATAATGATGATGAGGATGGGGATGAGGATGAGGATGAGGCCGAGGAAGATGACGAGGATGAGGAGGAGGGGGAGGAGGAAGAGGATGATGAGGAGGAGGATGCTGCTGCTGATGATGCTGCTGATGATGACGATGGTGACGGTGGTGATTGGTAGATGATGATTATGCTGATGATGCTGTTTATGTTGATTATGCTGATGCTGATACTGATGACGATGCTGATGCTGATGCTGCTGCTGCTGATGATGCTGCTAATGATGATGCTGCTGATGATGCTGACAATGTTGCTGATGATGATGCTGATGACGCTGCTGATGATGCTGATCATGATGATGATGATGCTGCTGATGAGGATGATGCTTCTAATGCTGATGATGCTGATGATGATGATGCGGCTCATGATGCTGATAATGGATGGTGATGCTGTCGATGATGCCGCTGATGCTGATGCTGATACTGATGCTGATGCTGATGATGCTGCTGATGATGCTGATGATGATGATTGCGCTGCTGATGCTGATGACTATGATGTTGACTGTGTTGGATGATGGTGATGATGATAGTGATGATGCTGCTGCTGATGCTGATTGTGATATTGATGATGATGTTGATGCTGCTGCTGATGATGATGATGATGCTGATGATGCTGATGATGATGATGCTGTTGCTGATGATGCTGATGATGGCGGTGGTGATGATCATGGTGATAATGCTACAGCTGATGCTGCTGCTGATGATGACGATCATCATGATGACGATGATGACGATGATGACGATGATGGTGTTGACGGTAGCGACGAACATGAGGATGCTGATGCTGTTGATGATGATGCTGATGATGATTGATGCTGATCATGATGATGATGATGATGATGATGATGATGATGATGATGATGATGATGATGATGATGAGGTTGTCGCTACTGATGATGATGCTGATGATGCTGATGATGCTGATGATGATGCTGATGCTGCTGATTATGATACTGATGATGATGATGATAATGCTGAGGATGATGATGATGCTGATGATGGTGATGCTGCTGCTGATGATGCTGATGGCGACGCCGATGATGCTGATGATGATGCCTATGATGATACTGATGCTGATGATGACGACGATGATGATGATGAGGATGATGATGATGATGGTGATGATGGTGATGATGATGATTATGATGATGATGATGATGATGACGATGATGCTGATGCTGATGATGATGATGATGATGATGATGATGATGATGACGATGATGATGATGATGATGATGATGATGATGCTGATGATGATGATGATGATGATGATGATTGATGATGCTGCTGCTGCTGATGATGATGATGATGATGATGATGATGATGATGATGCTGCTGCTGATGATGATGCTGCTGATTATGAGATGGTCTGGAGGAGGAGAGGAGGAGGAGGAGGAAGAGGAGGAAGAGGAGGAGGAGGTGGAGGAGGAGGATGAGAGGAGGAGGAGTCGCCGTAACTGGAGGATGATGAGGGTGAGGAGGATGAGGAGGAGGAGGACGAGGGAGGAGGAGGAGAAGGAGGAGGAGGAGGAGGAGGAGGAGTGAGGATGAGTGGGAGGAGGAGGAGGAGGAGGAGGAGGAGGAGGAGGAGGATGAGGAGGAGGGTGGTGAGGAGGAGGAGGGGGAAGGGGATGAGGTGGTGGAGGGGGAATGAGGAGGAGGAGGCGGAGGAGGAGGAGGAGGAGGAGGATGAGGAGGAGGAGGGGGAGGAGGAGGAGGAGGAGGAGAAGGAGGACCAGTGGAAACCCAAGGGTCATCAAACATGTTGGAATAAGCCCTCCCTCCAAGCTCCCTCTTCATATGCCCCTACAGCGGTTCATTTCCGTTGAGGGAACTGCCTCGTTTGAAGACAACAATTTGAAGATCCTGAAGCGTGCCGAAGCATTGTTCTCGGGATGTCAACGCCACGTGTCAACCTAACTGCTGCCTCTTGACGATCCAGAACCGCACCAGAACGCCATGTCTGAGACTTCAACGCAGCGAATCAACATAACTGTTGTGCCCGCATAATCCATACTCCTTCCAACACACCATTTCTGGTGCGCTGATCATTGGAATCCGTAGCACCCTTGCAAATTCCACAACACTAATGTGCGCGGCGCTAAGGCGAGAGCCACCTTTTGAAAAGGAGCCGCCTTCAATCCGTGAAGCTCTTGCTAATTGTTAAAGACGAATGGTTGCGGCGCTAAGGCGAGAGCCACATTTTAAAAGCGAGCGCCGTCATTTGTGACACTTGAGCAAATGTTGAAAACGAATGGTCGCGGCGCTGAGGCGGGAGCCACATTTTGAAAACGACCCGTCCTCAATCCGTGAAGTTCTTGCAACTTTTTAAGACGAATGCGCGCGGCGCTGAGGCGAGAGCCACAGTTTGAAAACGGCCCGCCCTCAATTCGTGAAGCTCTTGCAGCCTTTTGCAACGAATGTGCGCGGCGCTGAGGCGAGGGCCACATTTTGAAAACGACCCACCCTCAATCCGTGAAGCTCTGGCAAATCTTTAAAACGAATGGTCGCGGCGCTAAGGCGAGAACCACATTCTAAAAGCGACCCGCCGTCATGTGTGAAACTGTTGCCACTTTGAAAGTTTCAGAGCCATCAGTGGTGAGGAAGTCTCAGGCGAAACGCCTGGCCCGCCCTAAACACTGGTCTCAGGGTGTGACAGGGAGGAGTTATCTACAAGGAGAAGGAATGGAGGAGGGGGGAGGAGGCGGAGTCGGAGGCGGAGGCGGAGCAGGAGGAGGAGGAGGAGAAGGATGAAGAGGAGGAGGAGGGGGAGGAGGAGGAGGAGGAGGAGGAGGAGGAGGAGGATGATGAGGATGAGGAGGAGGGGGAGGAGGAGGACGAGGAGGAGGAGGAGGATGAGGGGGGTGAGGAGGAGGAGGAGGAGGGGGATGTGGATGAGGTGGTGGAGGAGGAGGAGGCGGAGGAGGAGGAGGCGGAGGAGGAGGAGAAGGAGGGGGAGGAGGAGGAGGAGGACCAGTGTAAACCCAAGAGTCATCAACTATGTTGGAGTAAACCCGCCCTCCAAGCTCCCTCTCCAGAGGCCCCTACAACAGTTCACTTCCATGGGAGGAACTTACTCGTTGGAAGGTACCCGTTTGAAGACCCTGAAGCAGGCCAACACATTGTTCTCGGAATTCCAACGCTCGGATCAACCTAATTGTTGCGCCTGGACTTCAACACAGACAATCAACGTAACTGTTGCATTTGCATTATCCGGAATCTTTCCAAACCGCCATTTCTGGTACGTTGATGATGGGAGTCCGTGAAATTCTTGTGCATGTTGTAAACGAATGTACGCGGCGCTAAGGCGAGAGCCACGTTTTGAAAAGGAACCGCCCTCCATCCGTGAAGTTCTTGCAAAGGTTTGAAACCAATGCGCGCCGCACTAAGGCGAGAGCCACGTTTTGAAAACGAGCCGCCGTCAATCGGTGAAACTCTTGCAATTTGTTACTGTGCGCGGCGCTAAGGCGGGGACCACATTTTGAAAAGGAACCGCCCTCAATCCGTGAAGCTCTTGCATTTCTTAAAACCGAATGTGCGCGGCGCTGAGGCGAGAGCCACAGTTTGAAAACGACCCGCCCTCAATCCGTGAATGTGCGCCGCGCTAAGGCGAGAGCCACATTTTGAAAACGACCCGCCCTCATTCCGTGAAGCTTTTCCACATTTTGAAAACGAATGTGCGCGGCGCTGAGGTGAGAGCCACATTTTGAAAGCCACCCGCCCTCCATCTGTGGAGCTGTTGCCACTTCCTGAGCTTCAGAATCATGAAGGGTGAGGAAGTCGCAGGCGAAGCGCCCGGCCCGCCCTAAATTCTAGCCTCGGGTGCGGCAGGGAGAAGTTATTTATAAGGAAAAGGGATGGAAGAGGAGGAGGAGGAGGAGGAGGAGGAGGAGGAGGAGGAAAAGGAGGAGGAGGAGGAGGAGGAGGATGGAAAGGTGGCGGAGGAGGAAAAGGAGGAGGAGGAGGAGGAGGAGGAGGAGGAGGAGGAGGAGGAGAAGGAGGAAAAGGAGGAGGAGGAGGAGGAGGAAAAGGAAAAGGAGGAGGAGGAGGAGGAGGAGAAGGAGGAGGGGGAGGAGGAGAGGAGGAGGAGGGATGAGGAGGAGGACTCCGTTTTCTCCTGCTGTCGCTCCTATCCCACACCCGCATGCCGATGATCCTCCCGCCCACCTCCGTCCCTCCGCAGTCCCTCCTCCGCCTGCTCCTCTGTGTCGTGCCCCCCTCCCTCCAGAGGCTCCCACGAGGCCCCCGTCGCGGCGCACGTGACGGGGGGGTGGCGCTGCGCGGGGGTCCTCGCCCGAGCCATAGGACCCTTCTGGAGCTCCTCCCTCCTCCTCCCCTCCTCCTCCCCCGCCCCTTCCCCCCTGCTCCCAGGGGGCGGGAGGAGGGTCCCGCGCGCCGAGAGG